CAAGAGTGACGTGGCTTGGAGCCGTATGGTGTGTTACACTGCGCCTGATAGATACCTAAGGCATTGTGGTACTTGGTTCGACAATGTACAGGTACTATCAGCTAGCGAAACCGCAGGCGCATCATTGTTTGTACTATCTGCCTGATGTTGCTTTACTACGAGGTCACAGTGTCGTCCAGTGGTGGTCTGAGAGTGTGAACCTGAAGCTTGGTTCATGTCAAAGCCTTTACCTCTGTAGAGTATCTTATGAGAGAATAATTCAGACAGTAATAGCTCTACTACCTTTACGAATTCTTTAATCAACGTTTCTTACCCCCCTCGCCTAGGCTCAATCGCGGCTGATTTCTTCCCGGTTACATTACGTAATACAACGAGAGGTTCGTCCCCGTCCAAGGTACCTTTCCTGATCATATGCCCCACTTAGCCCCAATTTTTATTAGGAAGCTCCATTTGAGGAAAAAAAAATCTTTTGCACATCGCTAATCCGTCCTTCCTTTCGATTGCTCGCTGAGCTTTTTTTCGACTCAATCAGTTCAATTGTACTTCACCGCTATGCCGGAGTTGTGCGATGAGCGTCTTGACGAACTCTTGAAACAAGCGGCCAGCCGGCTAGTGACGAAGAAGTCGTCACAGCCGAAGGATTGCAGCTTGATCGCGGTCGCTTCAACCGAGCCAACCGCGGAGCACCAGGGCCAGCCAACGGTACGAGACCAGAAGAGCCTCACGCTTCGCGATCCTAGGCCGACAGAAGAGAAGGTACGTTTTTCGCAATTTTCACCCTCATTTCGCCCCAACATCTCGTGATGAGAAGCAATCCTTGCTTATTCTGTTGATGTTGTGTCGGCATCCGTCTTGGACTGCCGCGCCACGCCCAAATGATACTCCTATTTCATAGTTACTCTGAAGCGAAACTCGCCCTGGTGTTTACTGTCTCTGTTGGTCTTTTAACCTAGTACAGCAAAGCTGACGCGTCTTCTCAGAATCTTGACACCGCTGGCCCTCGCTGGTTTGGCATCCCTAAGACGGACCTCAATGATCCAGAACTCAAGCGGGATTTACAAATTCTGCATATGAGAGGAACTGCCATTGACCCGAAGCGACACTACAAGAAAGAGTCTCTGAAGGCCAAAGTGCCTCGTTATGCTCACGTTGGACGTATCGTCGAAGGGCCGACCGAGTTGTACAGCGCACGCCTGACCCGCAAGGAGAGAAAGCAGACACTAGTAGATGAATTGTTGAGTGCTGAAAAGGCCTATGGCAAGTTCAGGTCTAAGTACGAGAGCATCCAGCAGAAGAAAGCAAGCGGCAAGAAGGCCTTCTACAAGAAATTGGTAGAACGACGTCGCCGTGGCAGACAGTAAAAAATAAAGAAAGGATTCTCGAGACCTAGATTCGTCAATATGTCTCTGACGCCGTGATTTCGAGCCTATTGACCCGGTGCTTTTCGTCGAAGAAGTTGGCCGTTATTCCGGCGCAGGTGATTCACCATAGAGGGGAACCATGTGAGAAAAATAAAATAAAATTGCAATATGGCGTAAACCCTTTAGTCCTATAATCTTAGCTACGCGCGGATAGTGTGATTTTCATTATGCGTCTGCGCGTCTTAGGCTGTGCTCTTATATGAATAATATATGGAACCCGAAATTTATCGATTTCTTTGCCGTTCATGGTCTCCTCGTCGGCAGGTCCTCTGATCCCATCTGGTTACCCGTGCAGCGACAAAATGCGCGTAACATCGCTATTGCGGCCAACAACCCGCTTTCTGGCGCGGTCAACACCACAGGTGCGTTCCCATCTTTGTCAATAGGTGTCCTTGGGTGGCTTTGGAGAGTCGTTTTTTTATAGCTTACATTCCATTTCCAATCCAGGCCGTCATCCAGCGACCGCCATTGCCGCGATTTCTTGCCACTGGAGCACCCATCGCCGAAAAGGGCATTGACACGCCCATCGACCAGGTCCCCTCTGCAGAAGCTCGCGAAAGAGTGTCAACTACCAGAGAGGCCCTCCCCAATCCCCAACAAGGGTAAGTTAATGACCTATTGAGGACGACATCCCGAGCGAGCCACCCGACTGCGGACATTTAACGTTTCGTCAGAAAGTCACCGAAATTACGATTCCCACGAAGTGTTCAGGCGCTCTATCTTCAGCCCTTGAGATGCGAAGCTGAATACGGCATTCCCTCATGCGACCTGCAGCTACGTTCTTTCAGTATAAGAAACCTCGAGTTCTTCGTCGATTTCGCCCTTCGCGCAGCATACTATCTTAAGCTTCCAGCTTTTGGTCCAGTACCGCTACCTCGCATTACTGAACGTTGGACAGTCCCTCGCAGTAGTTTCATTTTCAAGAAGTCTCAAGAAAACTTCGAACGCATCACTCTACGTCGCCTCATCCAGATTCGCGATGGCAACCCGGAGACGGTGCAGCTGTGGCTGGCTTTTCTCCAAAAACACGCATACTATGGCATTGGTATGAAGGCCAACCTTTGGGACTTTGGCAAGCTAGGTAGGATCTCGCGTGAGACGTCTACTTGTGCAAACGTTGACGTTCTTCAATCAGGCGTAGGAAAGCCGATGGATACCATCTCCGAAGACGCACATGAGGCTATCGAACCGAAGTGGGAACAACTGAGCCAGCTCAGAAGTCTGGATACGGTCGAGAAAGTTGAGGAGTTCTTGGCGACCTCGAGGTTTACTACCGACAGTGGTAAGCGGGCGGAAGGACAGCGCCGCTTCGTAAAGGAACAGTTCAAAAGAGAAAGGATGACGAAGAGAAAAGAAGCCGAGTGAGCACCATCTCGGCGGAACTCGGGTCTAGCCCAAGGCGCCTTGCTTTGCTGGCTAGCGCCCAGCAAGGCTAGGACAGCAGTAAATCAGGAGGCAGCACAATTGCCTTCTACTTTTTCAGACTATTGCGCGTCAGCCTGTACCCGAGTTTCGGACGGCATGAGCCTTTGTATATGTATGCTGGGCTAAACATTGGGGGTTCCTGGTGAAGGCTGAGGACATTCTGCTGTACTACTATTAGTGTGCCCGTTACAACAGTTCAGTTCGCAAGCAGGCTCACCCAGTGGCGCCGTATAGCGAAGGTGATAAGCATTTGCTGTGTCTTTTTTGCCCGGCGGAGCAACTCGCAGACATGGTAACCCCGGTACAACAATATATTCGAGTATCCGTCGTTTCTCATCAAATTTGGCCGGAGGTCGTAGCATGCCTTTTGCTCCAGGGTATTACAGCCACTTCCGACATTACACGATATCACCACTTCCGTTCTCAATGTGGCGGCAGGCAAGATCGGGAGCCCGTCAACTTGTGGTCGGCGTGCGCGAATTTCGACGTGCCTCGTCGACGAGCCAACAGAAGGTTGTCTTCTCTGGGATTCAACCCACAGGAACGCCACACCTGGGTAACTATGTTGGTGCCATCCGCCAATGGGTTAACCTCCAAAGCGAACCAGCAGATCAATGTAAACTGATTTACTCTGTCGTCGACCTCCACGCCATCACCAGGAACCAACAAGCAAAGCAGCTCAGACAATGGAAGAGGGAAACACTAGCCGCCTTGATCGCCGTCGGCATTGATCCCGAACGTTCCACATTGTTCTATCAGTCTTCGGTAATAAAAACCGCATCGTCACTTCGTTGCTGGATCGAATTCTCAGCACGAACAATGTCGCTGACGGTATCGCTGTTCCCTAGGTTGCGGCCCATACAGAACTCATGTGGATCTTGAGCTGCACAGCTTCCATGGGTTACCTTTCGCGCATGACGCAGTGGAAGGTCGGTGATATCAATGTCCAGTTCTCTTCAGCAACAGAAGTTCTAACGACATACCCGCAACAGAGCAAATTGTCTTTATCCTCTGATGCAACAATTCTCGACGAGAGTGCCAAAGCATCATTGAAACTCGGCTTGTTTTCTTACCCTGTTTTACAAGCTGCCGACATTCTTGTTCACAGGTTCGTTAGATGTCTCATTATCCGACCCAGGAGAAAAAGTAAGAAGGCAAATGTATTAAGTCGATAATATAGGGCAACTCATGTCCCCGTCGGTGACGACCAAAGGCAGCATCTAGAGTTTGCTCGGGAATGTGCCAACAACTTCAACCATACCTTCGGCTCGCACCTTGTGCCACCTGAAACCATCACTCGTAAGTCTCACTATCCCATAAAAGGCGCGAAAGGTCTTTGACTTTGATCCTTCAAGCGCCTACTCGCCGGGTTATGTCATTACAACATCCGGCCGAGAAGATGTCAAAATCGGCGAAAGATTCCAGGTCACGCATTGTTATCACAGACCGGCCAGAAGAGATCCACAAGAAGGTGATGAGCGCCTTGACAGATTCATCAAATGTGGTCTCTTACGACCCCCGTGAACGCCCGGGTGTGTCAAACTTATTGGAAATCTTGTCCGTTTTCGATGGCAAGGGACGGACCCCATCCCACCTAGCCCAAGAATACTCTCAAGCTTCTTTGAAGGACCTCAAGCAGGCTGTTTCTGAAGCTGTCATCCGTGGTCTATCCGGGTTTCGAGAAAGATACTTAGACCTTATCTCGGCTGATGAGGGAAGGTACCTTGACTCCGTTGAGGCTCGAGGAGCGGAGAGGGCCCGTCAAAGTGCGGAAGAGACCATGGTTATTGTCAGAGAAGCCACAGGCCTGTAGGCTGACGTCTGGGCATTTTCGGATGTGGTCTTTTTGTATCAACGTGTACAGAATGGTCCCGCGGGTAGAATTCTGTTATTTGTAGGGATTCAGCACTTGTAAATATTGTATCCGTGACGAACTCAGATTCCCGCTCATTTCAAGCTGCGCTCGTGGATCGCAAAAGCCCGGCATACTGCAAGGTTTCCAGTCCATTTGCCGGCCCGCAGAAACCTGGATGTACTAGACCGTGGGATCAAGACGCGTAGGTGAATTTGGATCCTCTTGAGGCTAGCCACAACTCTCGAACCACCTGTGCTGTCCCTCTTGCGCCTCTTAGGCTATCATTCAATCATACGGAGTTAGTGATTATGATTCATCCGCAGAGATACGTTGTCAAAGAACAGTACTGACTTGATAATCTTTTTCAGGAAAACAGCCTTCTCCTCACTCGAAATGTGCTGGCCGGGAAAAGAAGGGTCGAACAAGGCTTGCTCGAGCCAAGCGCGGGCCTTTACCTGATTGCTGACCATCCTTTTCAAGGGTTCGCCGAGCCTATCCAGCTCACTCCTCGAGGCGTTGCCGCCAATATTTTGAACAATAGACTGTGCAATCATCGGCCCCAGTTGAGCAACGGCGTGGTCAATTGTCGCTTGCGCTCCCTTATCAGGATCCTTGAGCGACACAAACGTAGCCTGGATGACACATTAGTAACTCATCATAGAAACCATGGCTGAGAACATGCCCAAAAATCGGCGGCAGCAGCCTTTGGTAGAGGCTCTCGCCCGTCCAGCACCCTCAACGCATACACGAAGAAGTATTCAGCTAGCGGGAGACATTCGGGCCGAAATAGCGCAGTCGGCTCGCGAGATACGAGGCGATTCGTGAACTCGATGCCGTTTTGCGCCAGTTCTGTGTCATTCTCTGGTTCTGTAAAGTTTGCTTCCTTAGTGCTGCGTCTGGGGTTTGGAACTGTTGACTTACCCGGCAGTTGCTGCAAAAGACCTATGACCCATCTGAGTAATTTGGTTCTAATGTCCTCCACGTCGTTTCTTTTCAAGTTTCTCAGAGAACTCAGAAAAGAGCAGGCAGTGCTCACAAACAACCCAATACGAGGCACATCGGACGCTTGCTGAGCCAAGTAGTCACAAATAAGCTGCGGTGGGAACACGAAAGGCCCAGTCTCTGACTCTGAAAACCCTGTCTTGAAGATATTGCAGATGCTCTCAGCCACTTCTCCGCTTCGTGGAAAAGAGGCTTGAAGCTCAACAACCACAGACATAATTCTAGACTGTATCTGGCCAAGTCTGGAGCCCTGGTCGACAAAGGTGTGTTCCCTTTCGCTGTCCAGGTCCAGAGGTAGATCTCCAGGTGCCTGAAGACCTTTGCCGATGCTGATGAGACCCCTCAACGACTTCAGGGCAATGTGTAGCGGGAACTCTGATAACTCAGAGAGGGCCGAACAACGATGAGTGTCGCACTCGCCCTGGACCTCAGGCGAGCCCAGGGGCATCGATAGCAGGTGTATTGCCCTGCGGGCATCATATTCGACAAATGAGAGAAGAACCTCTAAGCGATCGAGTCTTTCGTCATCAGGTGACACGGCTTGTATGACGGCAGCTATGGCACCTAATATTCGCTCGCTAGCCAGACAGTCTAGCTGACCCTGTGAGGCAATAGACTGGTACTGCCCCAAGAACGCACTCGCCTCAGGCGCCAGAACAGATCGAGAGGAGAAGCACAGCCTCTGAATGGACCTCGCAGCAGACCCTGCCAGGTGAGGATCATTCAGAACAGAGAAAAGTAACGTCAAAGCGGCCGGGAGACTTTGGGATTCTCGCTCGAAGTAATCAGAATATCGCTCAATCAAAGATATACACGTCTGACGAGTGCGCCCTGGCATGATTTCTCGCGATGCCTGGAGAAGTTCAAAGAGAGGCGAGGAAAAAACGGCTCGGAGAGTGTCGTCACATCCGGCGTCTCCGGAGACACATTCGGCCAAAGATCCGAGACAGAAGGCGGCTGCCTCGAGATCTGGCCAGGAGTTGGGCGACATAGACTGCAGCGTTAAGTTTGCAAAGGTTGAAATCAAGGGCGGGCCAGTCACGGTGAATGTTGACTGCAGAAGGTCTGCAACATCCTTCCTTGCATCGCCAAAGCCTGCCCGATCCGCTGAATCCCAGCTAGCTAGCACACTAGGTGGCGGATATGCCACTCGTCGCCAAATAGTCGACACAGCCTCGAGCACGTGAGAAGTGGCTGAGGACACCCAGGCTTTTGAATCCGAGTCCGAATAGATGCAGTCCGTCAAGGTCTCCACGTATGTAGACCAGAACTCCAGGGCGGGAACGAATATCTTGTCTTCGCTTACAGGATAACCCTGGGCAGACAGCAGACCTCGAAGGCGTGCCAGGAAGTTTGATGACCGGTTGTCCACACTGTGAATGAGACTCTGAACCTTGGAGTCACCCAGCGAGATCATAAGCTGGCCGTACTGAATCGAGTCGAAGTCAAAGTCGCCTTTAACTAGACGGCGGTATCTTTCATCAGACCACTGCGTTTCAAAAAGGGAAAACAGGGACTCGTAGTGGCTCTCGGTCAAGAAAACCGAGTAATTAGACAGAACGTCGGCAAGTAATTCCACCGCAACTTCATACAAATCTTCATCGCCTAGGGCCACGATCGTAGGCTGTATCAAAGTGCGGAGAGAGGCAACTAGCTCGTCATTTTGCGAGGACACTCGCTGAGAGAACCAGACCCATGACTGCAAAAACAGTGAGCAAACTACCTTATTGAAGACCACCGCGTGTGTGAGAAGAGCCGAAATACGCACCTGCAGACAAGTCATGGAATCTCGGCGAATGCTGCTATCCGCAGGATCAGCGAACGCGCCGTGACTGAGCACATAAGACATCAACGCCAAGGCATCTGGGGCGTTGCTCATCAGGGATTTATATAAGCCCGAACTGCAAAAATGTGAGTCGAAGGTTTCCCTTAAGCGGATGGGGGGCGTGGTACTGTTTGGCTGAGTTCATCTCAACCTTAGATGACTCGTCAACTAAGGTACCCGAAAACCACAAAGCAGCTTGCAGTTTGCGCGGGTGAAGATTTTGGAGCAGACCCGACAAACCCGACGTCGGGCTGATACGCTCTTGTGACAAATGAGCACCTTCTGACAAGGACCAGCAGAGATGACGAATGCAAGATTCCCAACGAGTTGGAAAGTGCAGGAAGAAAGTGACAAGTGCCGACGATAGCTTTCTGATGACCAAAGCACCAGATCCGTCGTCGAGTGATTTGACAAACCAACCGACAAGATTCTGCAACAGTTCGGACGCATCATCGCTGGCTAAAGACGAGCTATTTGATTCTGCCATTAGCACAATATACATGCCTTTTAGAGGTCAGGGGAATGGGGATGTACCTCTCAGTATTCAACTTGACGATGAGGGTGAGGGCGCCAAAGAACTTGACTTTGTCGTCGTTATGGCTCAAGAGATCACGAGCAATCCACCAGCCGGAAGGTGATCTTTGCAGACGGTGCAATACTTCCTGTATGCGGGTAATGGTCTCGGGGGGTGCTGGCTCATAAAGAGCGAGAACAAGCTTGTAATCATTAGCAATAGGTAAAGGAATACTGATGGTGTGACACTTCGCTTACGGCTTCCGCCTCCTGGATGGTTGTTGGTAGCCGTCCGTCCATGGCAGCAAGATTGGAACAGAGCTCAAACAACTGCGTGGGATGTTTTCATGTTGATACCTAGGGCAGGACTGAGTGTGTTGAAGCTAACAAAGGTGAGGTTGGTTCGGCAGTGATGAGCCTAATTATGATAATGGGTGGGGTTTGGTCAAAATTTGGCAGTCTCTGGAATTGTGTTACACGAATTCCTTTCCTACCAGAATCAGAGGTGGCGGCAAACGAGAACCAGATGAATAGAGACAGCCCAGGTACGACAATCGGGCGACCCGGTACTTACTGACTGCGCAACGGCGTTTGTGACGCCTCAGGCTTTGCAGATGCAATTATGCGTGTGATGGGGTTCAGCCAAAAGAAAAAAACCACTTACAGACTTAATGTCCTTACCGGGTACGAGCTGTGCTTGTTGTAGTGTACCTGCCTTAAGGTATATTACCTCAAGTAGAGACAGGGGCACTAGTACGACTACAGTTACAGCAAGCAGGCATCTGTCCCTGTGTAGGTGCCTTAGGTGCATACACCCCCAGGCCATACTAATGGAAGTGGGCAGATACTTACCGGTAGATAGATGTCTAGGTATCTTAGGCACCATGCCAAAGCTGCCGACCTGCCTAGACGAACTAAGGTACCTTACCTTACCTTAGGTACACAGCCTGCTTTACCTAAGATACCAGATACATACTTACCTCACTGATGACGCCTGCTTCATATCGTTGCCTTAAGTAGGCACCTTAGGCTAGGTAGGTAGGCACATCGACCTACGAATACCTTCCAGGTTACCTCAATGTACCTTACCTCTCCACTGGAGACAGGTAAAAATAAGTGCACCAGAATCAGCGAGCCCCTCAACCGCTGGCGTTGGTTCCTCCAGACTAGGTGTCCCATAGCAACAGCACTGTGACTTTGGTGTAGGTGCTCCACTACCTACCTAGGTACGTAGGTAGGCGCCGCATCTACCCGTGTCACTGGAAGACCCCTCACGCCCCTCGTTCCCCTCGTTCCCCCGCCAAACGACTCTGCTTGCCTTTCCTTTTGTCGAGTTGAGACATCGCCTCTGTCTGTTCCGTCCACCTTATTCCACTACTAGGTGCCCTCTTAACTTCATGGTCTGGAGCAGTTGCCGTCCTGCTAGTGTGATTTTCCGTCGGATTTTCTCGAGTTCCAGAACAAGCCGGTCTTCTTCAACCCTGCCATTCCACGGTTGTCGTGCCTCTCCGACCAGTGGCTTCCACCGTCGAGTATTGCATCTTTCTGCGGTCCTTGATATGGAGCAAATCGACACTACCGGTCGCCTCTCGACCCTGAGAGAGTTGATGAAAGAGCGCAACATCGATGTCTATGGTAGTCTTACCTCAATTTTCCAATATTTACCACATCCTCGCCTTTTGCTAATAGCTTCGTTGTGTTCACAGTCATTCCCTCCGAAGATTCCCACTCGTCTGAGTATATTGCTGGATGTGATGCCCGCCGCGAATTCATATCTGGCTTCAGTGGCTCCGCCGGCTGCGCTGTTGTGACTTTGGAAAGAGCCGCTCTGGCTACAGACGGCAGATACTTCAACCAAGCCTCCAAACAATTGGATCAAAACTGGCTGCTCTTGAAGCAGGGCCTGCAAGATGTGCCTACTTGGCAGGAATGGTCGGCTGAGCAGTCCGCTGGCGGCAAAGTTGTTGGTGTCGACCCCGAGTTGATCACGGCTTCAATCGCCAAGAAGCTTGCAGAGAAAATCAAGAGATCCGGTGGCTCTGATCTGGTAGCCCTCGATGAAAACTTGGTCGACTTGGTCTGGGCTAAGGACCGCCCCGCAAGACCCAAGAATCCTGTTGTCGTCCTACCGGAGACCTTCAGTGGCAAGGACGTCAAGTCTAAACTGAAGGATTTGCGACAGGACTTGGAAAAGAAGAACTCCCATGCCTTCGTGGTATCTATGCTGGACGAAATTGCCTGGCTCTTCAATCTTCGCGGTGATGACATTCCGTACAACCCAGTCTTCTTTTCCTACGCCATCATCACCAACGAGAGTGCCACCCTCTACATCGACAATTCGAAGCTAGGAGAGGCCACCCATGCGTATCTTTCGGACAACGGCATCGCAATCAAATCATACGAGAGCATCTTCGAAGCCATAAGTGCACTGCGCTCTTCTGTGGACAGAGCTGACGACGGTCTCGTCTCCAAGCGGTTCATCATTTCCACAAAGGCGTCGTGGGCTCTGAAGCGCTCTCTCGGCGGTGACGGACTGGTTGACGAGGTTCGCAGTCCAATTGGAGATTCGAAGGCCGTCAAGAACAAGACTGAGATGGCTGGCATGCGTGCGTGCCACATTCGAGACGGTGCGGCTCTCATCGAGTACTTTGCTTGGCTTGAGGACCAGTTGGTCGCCAAGAAGGCCGTCCTAGACGAGGTCCAGGCCGCCGACAAGCTTGAGCAGCTTCGCTCGAAACATAAGGATTATGTTGGTCTTTCTTTTGACACCATCTCATCTACCGGTGCGAAGTAAGTGGACGTGGTCTACCGAGCGTGTCCTTCCAGGGCCGTTTCAGCTCCCTCACCAACGTCGGTATCTAACTTCTTCCTAGTGCCGCTGTTATTCACTATAAACCCGAGCGTGGCGCCTGCTCCGTTATCGACCCAAATGCTATCTATCTTTGCGATTCCGGTGCTCAATTTCTTGATGGAACCACGGACACAACAAGAACTCTGCACTTTGGACAGCCTACAGATGCCGAGAAGCTCGCCTACACATTGGTGCTGAAGGGCAATATCGCGCTAGACACTGCGATATTTCCCAAGGGAACAACGGGGTTTGCACTTGATTGTCTGGCTCGTCAACACCTCTGGGTTAGTTTTGATGACCGATGATCCTAGCGATGGACATCTACTGACGTGTGCTCACAGAGAGAGGGCTTGGACTACCGCCATGGCACAGGGCATGGTGTGGGCTCGTACCTCAACGTGCACGAGGGACCCATTGGAATTGGTACTCGAGTGCAATTTGCCGAAGTTGCCCTTGCACCTGGCAACGTTGTTTCCATTGAGCCAGGGTTCTACGAAGACGGGTCATACGGTATTCGAATTGAAAACGTAGCCATGGTCACGGAAGTGAAAACGAAGCATTCTTTTGGCGACAAACCGTACCTAGGATTCGAGCACGTCACCATGGTACCATACTGTCAAAACCTCATTGAACCCAGCCTCTTGACGGCAGAGGAGAAGAAGTGGCTCAACGCCCACAATGCGGATATCTTCCAAAAGACCAGGGATTTCTTCGCACATGACCCCTTGACGCTGGCATGGCTGACGAGGGAGACTCAGCCCCTGTAGTGGTACGGTATGCTCTAGAACCGCACAAAGGCGGCGAGGGTGAAGGTGGCAGCAAATGAGAGTCGGAATACAGAGTTTCGGAAAGGTTTGTTCGATGCAACCGTTTTGAATCGTTCTTTCAGGCCAAGCAGCTGGGGCAAGTTTATGCCGTATCTGTTTGCAAGCTGTAGCTGCCAGATTAGTACACGATTAGAATTTGCAGAATATTAAGCAAGGGCATTACGTAAAAGGCAAAGATGGTGAGACCAGCGAGCAGAACTAGTGTATGAGACAGGAAACCGACAAGAAGTCCAGCCCCGAACCCTTGACAGTGTACGTCAGTAATGCAGTCCGTTGGTATCGGAAATGGACCATGATTACGTACCAAACATGCTGCCGCTTGAGAGCTGTCTCATCACCTCTGGACTAAGGCCTCCTCGAGGCTGGCTACGCACGCGCGGGGCAGGCGAGGTTTTCTGAGCGTGATCCGAATCGAAGCGGATGGGGGGGCGCCGGGATCTTAGAACGCAAGTAATGCCGATGCCGGTACTGATAGGCAGCACCATATGTCGGCCAGTGAAGTGAAGAGGAAAAAGACGGCCCATTGACACAGATTGCGTAGACGCAGTGGTGCGGTGCCAGAAGTTTGAAAACTCAAGCGAACGATTGTTGTGAACGTAGATGAAGCTTTATCCCTGACCTACATAGGTAGTTGTAGACTAGTACCATCTGGCTGCCTGGTGACGTACCTATCATGTTTTCCTTACTAAGGCAAGTGTTCGAAAGCTGCTAAGACGAATTGAGATGCCTGCATTTGTGCCTCACCGATGGCTTAGGTAAGGTATCAAACATTTATGGAATTGGGGTTCTTCGAACTACATGGTAAGGCATCAGCAGCCAAACCGGAAGAGCCTTACGCGGTACAGAGTAGTCTCTACGTAAACCGCGCCCTCTCCCCACGTCTCGTTATCGCGTTTGAATAGAATCAAGTTTCATTCCATTTGCAAAGCTCTCAAGATATACACATGCTTCCGTTATCTTCTGTTGCCTCTCGAGTTTGAGCACTAATACCGCCAACGCCTTTTACTCCGAACCAAATTTTCGCGAAACAAGATCACAACCGCCAACCTCCACATGCCATGGGTATCCGTGCAACCGCGATATAAGAAAAGTAAAGGTGGTCAACTAGGGGCGCGACACAATGACCTTGATACAAAGCACATCCTGAATCGTCCTTTTCCAAGTACCAGAGTACTCAACCTAAGCCTCCCCAAACACCACGTATGCGCCGCGCAAGCTGGATGTCTTTTTGCATAATAGTGACTCTCTTGGCGTGTATGGCGCAAAGATTTGTGTCCTCGAAAAGATGAACCAAGAAAGCTTCAGCGGCCTCTTGGAGAGCTTGAATGGCATGCGATTGCCATCGCATCGGTGGCTGATCTCGGGGAATGACCGACTCGGCAATCTCGCGAACCTTGATAACAAGTTAGGCGATCGTCGTAACATAAATGCGCACGGTGAATCTACTTACGAGACGTGAAAAGGGAAGTCGACGCAAAAGAAGATCAGTACCGCTCTGGTACTTTCGAATCTCCCTGAGGGCTACAGTTCCGGGGCGATAACGTCTCTTTCCACGGTTCGGAATTGGGTCGCCGGCTGCGAGTGGTTAGCACACCATTGAAGGGCAAAAGATTCCTTGAAGGTGGAGTGAACCGTACGCTGAACATCGCTCTGTCGCGATTTGCGGCGACCAGGATCTGACTGCCTTGCTTTCCTTGGGGGCATGGCTATAGGGTATGTAAAGGGACGTGGGTAAAGCACCCGGAGGTTTCACCGGCCGAGGGAAGATTGGTATCGATTGCGAAAGGCGAGAATTGTAGATGAGCCAAGGTTGAATTACGGCGGTTGCGATGGCGAGCTGTTAGGCCATTCGGTTTGGCAGCAGTGTAGTTCGGAGTTGTTGCGAGCTAAACAATGGTGTTGTATCCGGAATGGAAGTCGAGCAATCGTTGAATTCAGAAGGATGGCAGAAGTTGAAGGATGCGAAACAAAGGGGGAAAAACAATGCGAAAGGTTGGAAAAGAGCAGGGTGAGTTAAAGGAGATGGATGGGACGATGGTGAGGCGCGCAACGGACTCAATTGACTTGCCAGCCCCGCGATTTTCCAGTTCAGTTTGCGACGACGCGTTAGTCGCGTGCATCTCGCGCGTCATGTTTAATTAAGGTCGGGTGGGCAGGCGTGCCCATGCGCGAGCCGACGCATGCGCCTATGCTTCTTTACGGCATATGAGTTTAGCAGCTGCAGCAGTCTATTTGCGTAATGCAATATACCAAGATCATGGTTGACCCACGCCAGCTTTGAGTTGCCCCGCTCTTGCCGTCATCGGCATCTGCGCCCCGTATCCATAATTGGCAACGGAAGGCCACACTGTGTTCTGGGCGTTATGGAGATCTGATTGACGGGTTCCAAAGGCCACCTCGCTCTAGCACTTCTATCTTACCAAACCTACACATGTAACGTCGGAAGGATCGAATCCCAACGAAACCCAGGGCGACAGCCAGAAGACAATTTTCTGGGTACATTTCTTCTTGAAGTTCTTCAGAACGAAATCGGCCTCTTCCCAGCCACTGCCCCTCGCCCTGCTGATCCCCCTCCAACATCCGACAGCTTGCACTCGTTTGTTCCGCCCCCGATTGCTTGAATCCGAAATTCCCAATTTCGCTGCGACGCCTGGGAGCTATACTTCTTGGGCGATGCGCGTGCCTTCTCGATCTCCAGTCTGCCTTCTCTGAAGCACATCACCCTTCGAACGCCTTCCCACACAAAATGGATCAGATGATGGGTGACGGGGGCCGCTTCCCTCTGGAGACGTGGTTCTGGGAAATGCCCATCTGCACAAGATGGTGGACAACAGCAACTGTTTTGACTAGCGCATTGGTCCAGTGCCAGATGGTGACTCCGTTCCAGCTTTTTTACAGCTTCCGAGCAGTATTTGCCAAGTCACAGGTTGGTGCTTCACGGTCCCTCGCTGCCCGCTTTGAAATCCCACGTAACTAATGTCTTTGTGTTTCTGGTTGTAGTATTGGCGTCTTCTGACGACCTTTCTCTATTTCGGGCCCTTCTCCCTCGATCTCCTCTTTCACGTCTACTTCCTACAGCGATACGCCCGACTTCTGGAGGAATCCTCAGGCCGCTCGCCCGCTCATTTCTCATGGCTCCTGGTCTACGCCATGACCAGCCTGCTACTTCTGTCCCCACTGGTATCAATGCCATTTCTTGGCCATCCCCTGTCATCAACTCTGGTTTACATATGGTCGCGACGGAACCCGGACACCCGATTGAGCTTTCTGGGCCTGCTGGTTTTCACAGCTCCATACCTTCCTTGGGTTCTCATGGCCTTTAGCTTGATCCTGCACGGCTCCATTCCCAAGGATGAGATCATGGGTGTCGTTATCGGCCACGTCTGGTACTTCTTCTCCGATGTCTATCCACCCCTGCACAACGGTTCGCGGCCATTTGACCCCCCAGGATGGTGGAGGCGACTGTTCGAGAGGCGACCGGCGGATGAGACCGCAAATGGCATTAACAATGACATTGTCGTCGCGGGCGGTCCAGAGCTCGCCCCCGAAGTTCGATGAAAGGCGAGTAGGAATCGGCCCTTTACATAAGAAACGCATGATACTGGGAGGGAGGGGCTTTGCTCCCAGCATGGAGTGGCTACCGCGGCGTTTGGGTCAGTCGGTTGCAACGCTACAGCACGCCTCCCTGTTCGCATTCACCTGGTTCCATCAGCAGCATGCCCGGCCCTCGGTCAGTCGTGGGGGAACAGAGCATTACAGTACCAGCTTGAAGCATGTTGCATTCTAGAGACATCCATACTATAGACTCATTCGAATCCCCCACTCCAGTCGTTTGAAGCACGATTGGATGTCTCTTGTGAATGGGCTACACTGGCTTGCATTATAGGTTCATCTATGTGAATATGTCAAGGTGTTGCTCACTTTTCAAAAGCATCCGCAGTGAGCATCACTGGGAGACGGGAGGATTTGAAGCAGACCCGGAGGGCTGGAGTACCTAAGGTACCCGACCTACCTTCCTTGAGAACCACGTGTGATGCCCCGCTGAAGATTGGACGACGGAGTGCCAGACGTAACTCTCAACTCCCGGGTAGGTGTGGTGCTGCCCGTGTTGGGATAGCAAATTACCCCACCTTCACAGCCAATTGCGTCATTTCCATTGCAAAAGTCCACCCTGACCAAACCTTCATTTGTTCTGCTTCTCTGAACTATTCTCAACGTCTGATAATATCCTGCCGCAATATCGACTCGGTAGCTGTTTCCTTCGGAGCTCCTGGATATACAGACTTTCCTGCACTTGAACAACTTCCTACTTCCTGGCCAAAGTTCACGCCTCTGTCCCGCCCGAAACTTGTGCCCATACGTGATCAATCATCCCTCGTAACACTACAAACCATGAAGGCCTATTGGTATGATAATCTGGCTGTAAGTGGGCTTTCCGAAACACCTACTGTCGGCTTGTCAAAGGCTACTTACTCATCGAGCTAATTTGTTTACTGGTTGCAGGGCGACCAGCGTCTAGCGCACGACTCGGGCAAAGAGGTTACGGTCGAACAGCTGAAGAAGCTTGGCGTTTACTACCATCAGATCCCCAACATTGATGGCGTCAACAAACTCGCGTCGGACCGAGGATATAGGAACAGGGATGAGATTATTGTTTCGCCAGAGAAGATGGGTGATGTCTACGAAGAGAAAGTCAAGTCCTTCTTCCATGAGCACCTACACGAGGACGAGGAAATCCGCTATGTTCGTGACGGTCACGGGTTCTTTGACGTGAGGAGTGCGGACGATCAATGGGTCCGAATTCGTGTCGAGAAGGTATCTTGTCTTCTCCGGCAAACATTATGGCAGGAATTGTTCGATCTAGACGGCTGACCAGGATTTAGGACGATCTTATCATCCTTCCTGCAGGCATCTACCACCGATTTACCACTGACGACTCCAATGTGAGTGATGACCCCCGAACAATCCCGACGTCAAAATCTTGCTAACAGGGTTAAAAGTATATCAAGGCAATGAGGCTTTTCAAGGATGAACCCAAGTGGACACCTTTGAATCGCACATCAGACCTTGATGTGAACCCGCACAGGGAAGAGTATGTCCAGCAATATCTTCAAAACAGTTTGCCGGCATAGACCGGAGGTAACGAGAGAGGAGGTTGAGGGGCATGTGACCCTTTGTATTTTGACAGCCAGCCAATGGTGAGCCGCGAGTGGAAAGAGAATTGAGAGCTCTTGCGCATAAAAGAGAGCCTGGAAACTCCTGACCTTGCCCATCATGTACTCAATAACGCGTGTTGGAGTTCATGTCTCGTACCGTGAGATGGACCGCAGGAGACTTCCACGCATCAATATGTGGGATATCACGGACTAAACACTTCATTTCAGATATACAACGTTATCGCGTTTGCCTGAAGTGCATTCGAATGCAAGACCTGGAATATGTTTTTGCTCTGACCACCTGGCGCGTTGTCTCATGAGGACATGTACGCTGTCCTCATGTCGTAAATTGTCCTTGTGCATCCGGGATAGAATCGGCCATGAACTCATCGTGATCTGCCTTGCTGTCCTTGCCATCCACTTCAACACCCGTTTCAGGCGCAACTGGGAAATTCAGATGCTTCCAATCCTCGAGCTCCTCGGTGACCGACCGCAGCCTGTCCCGTATGCTTTCAATGGCATAGCTGCCAAGAAGCAACCTCAGCGGAGGATATGAGCAGTGAGCGAGCTGCCAAACAAGCTCCGCGCACTTGACGGCGCTTGTTGGTTGCCGATTTCCTAGCCATTGGACCATTCGCTTGGCATGCAGGGCTGGTGAGGTTGCTTGTGCGTAGGCTTCGCTGGCCGGTTTGATGAGAAAGTGGCCCCATGTCGGTAGAGGCGTGGGCATCGTATCTGGCTCGTCTCTTCGCACAAAACCTGGCTCGACAAGAGTCGCCTTTACGTTGAACGAGTCGGTCTCGTACAGCATGGCCTCTATGAGACCCTCAACGGCATACTTGGTAGCACAGTACGGACCCAGACCCGGAACGCCCAGAGCACCTGAAGTTGAGCTGAAGATCAAATATCGACCAGCGTTCTGTTGGCGGAAGTAGGGCAGACTGGCCTGTATGATATTGAGAGTACCCATGAAATTGGTCTCGAACTGGTTACGAATCTCATGCTCGTCTTGGTCCTCACAGGCCCCAATTACGCCGTACCCGGAGCAGTTCGCGACGACATCAAACCGCTGAAATCGATCCAAACTTTTCTCGATAACGCGAGCAACGGAGTCTCTGGCTCTTACGTCACACAAGAGACCTAGGCAACTATCGTTGTCCTGTGCTGACATGTCTTCGGGAGTCGTCTCAAAGACTCGACCGACAGAAGTGACGAGGTCACCATGGGATAAGGCGGACTTCACGAGTGACCGGCCCATATGCCCAGTGCCACCGAATACCTGTGAGGGGTTTAGAAGCGGTATAGGTTACTGCAGGGCTCTCTGAACTCACCACCCACACCAGTTGTTTTCTGGGGGCATCGGATTGAGGTGGATCACAACTTGCTGGAAGTTGAAGTTTGGCTTTAGCCGCTCCATCTGTTGTTGAGTGACCTGCGCTGTGTTCGCTTGATACGTCCATCGTCTTTTAAAAAGAAATTCGGGAAGAAAAAGCCTGATCTATGTTATAGCAAGGTGATTAAGTAGCAACTGCATTTAGTGTCGGGATCGATGGGATGGCCAGAGGATGAAATTCCAGCGTTGAGTGGCGAAGATACTCTAGCAAGTTTTGCTCTTGAGAGTGACGGCTGGTGGCCTGGCAATTCGTACGGCGAGTGTTGGAGGTGTCATGTCCCGGGAGTTGAGCAGTGCGGATGAGAGCATGCCTACCTCAGGTATCTCAAGGTATCAACGTCAATGCTAGGCGTCCAGTAGGTACTAACATGCCGCCCCAGGTCCTGTCGCCTGAGATTCCCCGGTGTCTCCAGACGACTGGTACGGGGACGTGCCTATCTACTAGGTAGGTACCTAAGGGGGAGGGCGGGGGTTGCCAGTAGAATGAAGGCAGTCTGTTCATATTATATTAAAGATTTAGCACTATATTAGCGCTAAACTATAGGCTAGCTATAAGTAGTATAATATTATAATAAGCTATAATGTTATATTAAAATACTTATAAGTTACTATAAATAATATAATATCCCTATATGGCGCAGTGGTATGCGCCTGGCAGGCCTATGCGTTACCTAAACGTATAGGCGTCGGTTCGATCCTGACTACAGGAACCCCTTTTCCTCTCTTCTGATTAGTTAAGGACCCGCTGTAAAAAGTAGGTCCCTCCCTCGAGGGACCTACACCCATAGTGGGGCACTAACGGCCTCTAGCTAATCATTATATAGTATTATATACGCGCGTATCATCTACTTAATTATATATTATATAACGTAGCTTAAGTTTTCTTCCTATAAAGGGTTTCTTAGTAGTATATTACCTAGTATTAAGTATTAGTATAGAGAGTGTTAGGGCCTTAAGCCCTCTAGTATAGAGTGAATAGAGGGGGAAGTACCCTCATACCTTCTAATAAATAATATAATATTATATAAAGTATAAAAATATAAAAATAGTATTTTCTCTTAAAATAAAAGTTTAATAACTTAGAATTAGTTATAATAAAGTTTTTAAATAATTTATTATAATTCTATAGCTATAGTATATTATGATATTTAAGAAGAGTTAAGTATTACTTAATAAGTAATAACTATT